AGCAAAAAGGACACAATAATGATGCAAAAGTGACAATCCACACCAAAACCATATAAAAATCATAAAATTATGTAATTATATTACTGTACGTGCAATACAATAACAATATTAATCCCCGTTCCACCAAACATGCTCGTCCTTTCAGCCGCGGGGGCGTTATAATGTGAAGGTCAATCCCACTATTCGTTGATAAAAGACTAACCCAAGAGTAGGCGGTGGGTGATGATGACTAGACGCCTTCCCTCTAGTCTTTCACTGCTAAATTAGGGAAGGCTAGCATGGACAGCCCTTGTGTAGCTTTGCGCGAAATTCAAAACAAAACAAACGAAACCCAGCAGAAAGTTGCTGAGAAATTTAATGCACTTCATCCAGAGAGAGAGAGCAAAACATCACTCACAGTGCTGTTAGGAGGTTGTTACTAAATGTAAGGAAACTGGCATTGTGGACCATTGACAATAACACGAATATGCCTCGTAGTGTTAAAAAAGAATGGAAATACCGTCTCCAAATTTTTTTCGAATTACAAGGACTACATGTGAAACACATTCTGTAAAAGTCATTGACGTGCCTATGGTTCAAGGCTTTTCGGACACCCTGTACTTTGAAGATTACCCGAATGCGCGTTGCTGTGTAAAAGTTGAATAGACGCATTTCTGCACGACGGAGTTAAAATACACATTATAGCCATTTTTTCCCTACTAACTGTCTTGGTATAAGTAACAGTAACACAAATATGTTTCCTTAACACTCTGCAACCTCTGTGTCTATGACAATTATATAATGTGTGTTTGTACTGTAATTCTGGTTCAAATATAATACGCCATTTTCGACCTGATTAGCTAGTTGGTTGAATTATTTATACTTCTCACGAAGGTGACGCTCTAAAGAAATAAGTATGTTAGCAGGCCCGCGCTGTCCACCTTTAATTATCTTGAGCATTTGGATCTTGTTTTTTAGCATAATTTTATTTTCTTATTTAATTCGCTTTTCAATGAAAAATCTATAATCATTGTTCTTTGTTGTTTAATTTCGGAATGGGAAATCGAATACATTTTTCAACTCATAATTTTCTGACTGTGACATAATAAACCAGTTTCAGTTCAATGGTGAACAGAACGTTCTGTTTCTTTTAATAACTGTTGACATTTGAAAAACATTATGCCCATTGATTTTGTGTAACCTATATATATTATCATTCATCATCATGGGATTAGTTTGTTTGATACACGTGTTTTACCTTGTGAGGCCATGATAGAGACAATGTGTCTTGTACAAGTATATACCCACTTCCATTCCGGTATTCCCACCTATAAGGTGCTTTACCTGATGGTGCCTATATAACCTAGTTACTGTTGTATGTTTCTTTATTCACCCCTATTTCGTTAGAGCAAGCACATAGAATGACATGCCCGTATGCAGTTAAAAGACACGCTATTCTCACTTCTTTGTAAAAGATTCAGAAGCGGAAAGTGTAATTTGATAATGGATAGTAAAATCACGGTCTGTCAAAAGAGCTCTTTTGGAATGGTATGATTCACTTTAGCAGCTTTAAAATTTAAAAAAAAAAGGATAGATACAGAATTCGAACGGAGTTTCCATGGTTTTCAAATAAATTCATCATTATAAAAATAGAGTAATACAAAATATGTACATAAAAACACAAAATAATGAAAATAATTTAAACAAAGTTATACACAATCAAAGAGCTATAGCAAATTACAGTACACTTTATTTTGAATGTTGACATTTGTTTTCAGCAAATTAATGAGCACAGACAAATTCTGAAAGTTTAGATACACTGTTTTAGTTAAAAGTGAGAATACCAACTAAAACCTGAAGTAAGAATGGAGAAGTAAAGAAAACATATTCAAGCATCATGAAGTTTAAAACCGAGGTTTTAAATGTCATAAAATCATGCTTCACATGTAGCACAAGTGATAACTAGTACAGTGTCACATCCAACATAATTTATTTATAAAATACCACAATGGACACATATTTAAATATGCATCAGCTGCATGTAAAAATAATTAAACGAAATCACATTACAATCAGAGCTCAAAATCCAAACCAAAGTGAAATGGAGGGTACTGTATAGTACTGATCTGGCATGTTCAAGTCGGAGGAGGTTCAATGCTGGTCATTTGTGCCTGTAATGGGTCACACCCAGGCTGCAGCATAGGGTGCACTAGTGACAAGATGCAAATGTAAACTAAAAGCTTCTTAAGATTTAAGAATCCTATCAAATAACAAAAAAGCATACCAATAAACTGGAGTACTTCTCCTCACACAGAAGAGAGGACCCTGCTTTTATCTATCTATTCGCTGCTCAGCACAGGATTACCTAATAGGTAACTTACTCTCTCTGCTTCCCTATTAGGTGGTAGCATTACACACCCTCTCACAGCTCAATCAATTGTCTATTCACATGAGCATGTGATACAATAAGATTGCATAGCAGGTCTCCAATGCTTAAAAGTGGATTACTTCAACAAACTGAAAGCTATTCTAAATATTACGAATAAAGTTTTATACAAATTAGGAGTGATCCAACAGCAACTATAGAAGCCAACCTTGTGAAATACCTTCTAAAATTGAAAAGAGACGGAAGAAATTTACCAACAAATCAATCTAACGGTTTCACAATTTGGAGTTTTATATGGACTCCCTAAGGTTCACAAACAGGGACTTCGAGTTAAACCAATTGTTTGTAGTATAGGCCCCTATAATCAACCATTAGCAAAACAAATTTGACCCTGTATTTTAAAGACTTTTTAAAGTATCTTAAAGCAGACACAATTTAATGATGATGGTCATTGTGCTAGTTATGATATTGAGTCACTGTTTACAAATACACCTGTAAATCAAACGAATGATCTCTGCCCTAACCTCGCGTTTGATGATAACGAAAATGTACAGGGTATAAATAAAGATGTTTTTAAAATACTTTTACATTATGCAACAAAACAAATATACTTTGCTTAACGTTAAAATCTATAACAGATTGAAGGAATGGTTATGAAAAAGTTTGTCTACAGTCCAGTCCTGAACGTTTTAAGCCTCTGTATTACAAGAGATATGTTGTTGAAACTTTTGTGTTATTTAACACTGTTGAGTTGGCTAAAGAATTTATCCAGTTTTTTAAACGGTAAACATCTCATTATCAAGTTTGCTGTTGAAAATCGACAGATTGACAAACTCTCGTTCTCAGATGATCGTATTTTGAATAATCAAGGTATACTTATCACTAAAATATACCATAAATAACTTTCACTGGAATTAATTCACATTTTAAAAGTTTCACGCCTACAATTTTGAAAAAATCTGGTTAAAACCCTGCTACACAGAACGTTTAGGATATCAGGAAATCAATACCTTTTTGAAGCAGAAGTTGATTTTGTTTGCTTGTTTTGAATTTCGCGCAAAGCTACACAAGGGCTATCTGCGCTAGTCGTCCCTAATTTAGCAGTGAAAGACTAGAGGGAAGGCAGCTAGTCATCACCACCCACCGCCAATTCTTGAGCTACTCTTTTACCAACGAATAGTGGGTTTGACCGTCACATTATAATGTCCCCAAGGCTGAAAGGACGAGCATGTTCGATAGGACGGGGATTTGAACCCGCGACCCTCAGAAGTTGAGAGCATTAAACAAATGCTTAGAATAAATTATTTTTCGTTGTCGTTTCTGAATAGAATAATTCACACAGACTCTGAAAAACTCAATATCCCATCTGTAGTTATGTTAGATGTTCCGAAGAAAACTGTTACTTTAGTTATACCATATACTTAGGTAGTATTTCGTACATGATTAAGAAGAAACAGCTATATCCTCAGGTTCAGTTAAAATGTATCTCTAAAACAGAGACTAGGTTTAATGGCGCTTCAACTTTAAACACAAATGGCATCCACTGAACACCTCAATAGAGGTATAGGACTTCACGTGCCCAATGTAAAACCATGGATGTATTGGATCAACCACTAGAAGTATCCGCAGTCGAATAAAGTAACACTGTAACGCTAAAACCTACAACACTAGTAGTATTACCAACTAATGTCTAAATGAATGTGATGTTGTGCCAACATCCAGTTTTTTCCGCGTCGTTCTTAGTTCACAGGAAGAATTTCAACTTATGATGTTAGAAACAAACGCGTTACTATTACATTTTCAATTGTGAAAATGTATATAAAACGACAGAACATAAACTTCTATCACGTTCTCCCACTTAAACTTAAGACATATCCTTGTTATTTCTGATGGTTGTATGAATCTTTTCTCAGTATTGAATTTACACCAAGATATCCAAAGATGACAGGATGACTTAACCAGATGGTCAAGTGGCCCTACTAAGTACTATTGCATGCTTATCCAATACTGCCGTTGTTCTGCCTATAGATTACTACTACAATCCTTAATCTGCAATCTCAGATACACTGGACGTCACATGACCACGTGTGTCTGATTCTGATGCAATACTAACAATATAGTTAGTGTGAACTATTCCTTATACACGCACCATACCTACAATCAATCCAATTTATAACTTCATAGAGGTTTGTCCATAATTACTCACCATAACCATAATACAAATGTCTGAACATAATATGCTTAATGAATGGCCTCCATTACTGCCTCTGAAAATGGTGGCACACGAGAGTACATTTCTGACTTTTTATATAACATTACTTTCATCAAATGAAGAAAATGAAAATCTTTTAAAAACATTAATGCTGTCAAGTGTTCCTGTGCTTTATTTAGCTGACATTTTATAACTTTTTTTACAAAACTGCAGCTTACCATTGCATAGGTTTATCAAAATATTTCACATATTAATAAGTGGTGTTTAATAAACTGAAAGTGGTTTAAACGTGTAAAGATTATGAATTTATTCAAGTCAATCTCTCTTCATTGTACCTGAATATAAGTGTTTTAGTTCGACATAAACTGGTTTTTAAAATTCTATTCAAATTAATTTGTTTTTATCATTGTCACTAATTGTATTATGACCTTGTATGACCTCAGTAAAGACATAAAATGTGAACTAAAGGAAGTATGCACAAGTATGTATAATGTTTATCCTATACTTAATCTCTAATAAGTCTATTTTTAGACTTAATAGAAAAGAAAAGTTGTGCTTTAATATTTTGAACACTGAAGTGTTGTGCTTGAATAAATATTGTATAAGATTTTGTTTGTTTTTTAGAGCAAAGCCATACTTAGCTATCTGCTGTGTCCACTGTGTCGAACCCCGGATTTTAGTGTTTTAAGTCCGTATACTTACCACTAACCCACCGGGGGATATGTATTATAAGAAATGTGACAATTAAATCCACATTTGCGCAATTTCCTTAAAATATTTTTTTACAACAGAGCACTGATTGTGAGCTTAACTTACTGAAGACTTTATAAAATCAAAATTCTACTTTACAGCTCTACAGACACAATCAGGGCTGAGAATATACAAATCATCAGCCACTATTGTCTTGATGGTGAGTATCAACCCGCATTATTTTCACATCATTACGTTAACGTTAAGCTTGAAAGTTGTAATTTCCCGGACACACAGTCATGCTTGAAGATATATAATTAAGGGCACACATAACGCCTAATGCGTTTTTGTGTTTCTTTAACTTCTCCTCAATTAAATCTTTACTTTGTTAGACTCTCTAAGTGATAACAGTGTTGAACATTATTAAACTGTCCTTGAGTGTCACTCTGTTGACAAACAACTATACAATACAAAAAATACCTTAAATTAAGGTGTGTTTTAAATAAAATAAGCAACAAAGAAACGGAATAAGAAATGGAAAAGAAAATTTATTGCCCGCTTATTTGTCTGTGATATAAATAGAATGGTAGAACGACTTTCAAATTGCTGTTAGGAAATGTATAAACAATTACATTTCCAAATTGTGAGTCGTTTAGGATAAATTCGTTTCAGTACTTAACAGTGTGTAGATTTCAGTAACCAATACAATGTCAGCAAAATGTGACATTACGTAAAGAAACTTAACATACTTTCGGCATCGTAAACTTTTTGATTGACCTGTAACACCGGCTTATTAACAACTGTACAGGGCATGGTGGTGACAAGTTTGCCTTTTTTTGCTAGTAAAACGCTCGCCATGCCCGGCATAGATTTTATAAATAGATAGTTATTCTATAGGCATTCAAAAAAGCACATGCTTATTTCCTGTTGAAGTATGTCCCAAATTTCTCAATTCCCTCTACTTTTTAATCAAGGCTCATTCGACTATATAAAGGCGTGAATTTCAGTTGCTATTGTTCATTTCGTCGAGGCTCAAGGTTCAGAGTTTGAAGCGTATTATTTTTTACCAGCATCATGAAATCCACTGTAAGTATACCTACTCCATCACTATAAATTTACCTAGATGTTTACACTGGTGTATATATATATATATATATATATATACACACATATGTGGACATATAGTTTAGACTCGTATTACCAAACCTATAGAAAGCTACGTTTACTTTCGAAAATGGATCTGAATTTTCAAAGTTATAAGCTATGATTGGATGACATTTATAACTTGTTCAACACAGAGATATGTTCTTAACCGTAACTGTTTTTATACGAAGATCTTTCTTTCTTTCCCACAGCTTGCTCTCTGTGTCCTCTTCATGGCTCTTGCCACTGCTATGGGTGGCTACCTGCTAGGATCATATGGATATGGTTATCCTGGCTATGGTTATGGTTATAGGCCCTACGATTATGGTAGATACAGTGGATATGGTGGATATCCTTATGGTGGATATGGTTACGGTGGCTATGGCCGCGGTTATGGTTACGGTGGATACGGCCGCGGTTATGGTTACGGTGGATATGGCCTAGGTTATGGTCACGGTGGCTATGGACCCTACGGTTATGGTGGACTTTATGGTTATGGTAGAGGATATGGCTACCCTGGCTATGGTTATGGACATGGCTGGTAAAAACGGTCTCCAGAAGGAAAGTATCTACAGCAACTTGAGGTACATGAGTGTCTTTACACAAATTCTGCAGCTAAAGTTTTCTTCAACTTAAAGACAAATATTTTTGGAAATCAGGTGCTAAGTGATTCATCTTATAATTAAAGTATTCGGTTTTGATTAAGATATCGTTTTAATTTTAGTCTTATTAATAATACTTATGAGAATAAATTAATATTACAGGTTGTTTGATCAATTGATAAGGTATTGTTTATAAAAAGTTGGGGTAAGTTATATATTCTAGTTAACATTATACAACCATATCATTTAAACCACGACTCTTCTTCTCATTATCTTTATTTTCAGCCCACCAGTGGCACAGCGGTATGTCTGCGGACTTACAACGCTAGAAACCGGGTTTCGATACCCGTGGTGAGCAGAGCACAGATAGCCCATTGTGTAGCTTTGGGCTTAACTTCAAACAAACTTTATTTTCAGTTATCGTAAAATTAATACTTTTTAGCATGTGACATAACTTTCTTCAAATTCCTATTGCTTATAATATTTTTGTTTTTATTTCCAGAACTCTTTCGTGATGACATCAGCATCATATTACCTACGTGTGACTTAAACAAATAACAATTTGATGTTTACTGAAATTATCATATTATGTGAATAAAAAAATTGGAAACGTTCATTTTCAGTAATAAATTAGTTTATAAATAAATTATAGCCATGACTGTTATAATTTTGGTTTTAAAATGGCATTTTTCTGTGTTTAAAATGGCATATTTATATATTAAGTTATTTCCGGGCTTAGCTGAACTTGAGTTATGCTTTAAGCAAAAAAACATAAAATTTTCAGAATGTCAACTTATTTTACCATACTTATACATCAACAGATAACATGAATTCACACACACGCACACCATGATCATAAACACAGAGAAACAATAACTCATCATAGGAAACGCACAGAAAAACCGAAATCTGGAATATCATAAATGTTGTGCAGCATGTATTTCATTTTAATACAGAAGTAAAACTTCGTTATCGATGTCTTTAAAATTAAATATTCAATCACTGACTTTCTCTCGTTCTAAAAGTGACAGGGCTCTTATAGCACTTGATAATAAAAACGAACGAAAATATTGGGAAGCAACTAAAGATAAATCATTTAACACTAATATAATTCACTGTATACAGATATTTCCCTAAGCACGTGGGCTTCCTTATAGCGAATAATGAATTATATTAGTGTAGTCGCTATAAGGAAGTCCACGTGCTTAGGGAAATATCTGTATACAGTGAATTATATTAGTTTGTATACAGATATTTCCCTAAGCACGTGGATTTCCTTATAGCGACTACACTAATATAATTCACTGTATACAGATATTTCCCTAAGCACGTGGACTTCCTTATAGCGAATAAACTAATATAATTCACTGTATACAGATATTTCCCTAAGCACGTGGACTTCCTTATAGCGAATAAACTAATATAATTCACTGTATACAGATATTTCCCTAAGCACGTGGACTTCCTTATAGCGACTACACTAATATAATTCATTGTATACAGATATTTCCCTAAGCACGTGGATTTCCTTATAGCGAATAAACTAATATAATTCACTGTATACAGATATTTCCCTAAGCACGTGGACTTCCTTATAGCGACTACACTAATATAATTCATTGTATACAGATATTTCCTTAAGCACGTGGATTTCCTTATAGCGACTACACTAATATAATTCACTGTATACAGATATTTCCCTAAGCACGTGGACTTCCTTATAGCGACTACACTAATATAATTCATTGTATACAGATATTTCCCTAAGCACGTGGATTTCCTTATAGCGAATAAACTAATATAATTCACTGTATACAGATATTTCCCTAAGCACGTGGACCTCCTGATAGCGACTCTTGAAACAGAATATTTGACTAGCAAAACTTCATTGCGAAATAATATATTTTTCATCACTTGTTATAGTTCACAAACCCTGCAGTAATTCTCTAGGTATTTGCCAAGCATGAAACGTCTAGACTCTAAAGTTTTAAAATATTATATGTGCCTGCAATACATTTAGCAAAACGATTATGTTTTCTTACAAACATTTAGTAGTTTCGTCTTCTAAGATTAACAGACATAACTCATGTGTAGGGTCTTTGACCTCGAAAGAAAACACGCGTGCTATCTCTATAAGCTTTTTGCACACTAATGTAAAATAAATTAATTTTATGTTCGCCAGCTCAGAAACGCTGATAATATCAACAAATATATTATTCAACAAACAAAACTTACACTCACTCCCTTGCGAACTTTTAAATAAATTTCCATAAACTTCCAACAATTTTCCTTTGAAAAGCTTAAATTTCATCTGAATGCTTGATTTATAACTGTTGTGATTACCAAAAATATTTAATACAATTTCTCAGTTTTTTAACGTAAAACTACCGATTAAATTATCTGTATTCTGTCCACCACGTGGATTCAAATGTCAGTAAGTCAGTAAACTTACCGCTGACCCATCTGGATGGTCTTTTATTACTACTGTTTTATTATGTTGAATATATGTTTTCACCGACACTTGATGTTATAGTTTCTAAACGTAAGATACATTTTTAGATATTCCTTACGAATCACATTTCTTGAACTTATCACAAAAGTTTCCTTCTATAATCACAGATAAATATTAATAATAAAATGTAAATACAGCCTGTTTTGAGAGGATTTTTTGCAAGTATTATTTATTTGTTAAAGATACAAAATATATTTTTTTTTACATCCTTATTTAAGTTTTACGAGCAGGATACTACACAACGCTAAATTCTACAAGTTGAGTTAGCAAACATTCTAATTAAGTTAAAGCTGGTTCAAAGAAATTATAGGTTTAATAAATAGCGCTACCTCTATCACAAGAACGATAATACTTATATTAGGAAAGGGGCGAATACACAATACATGCAATGCAAACTATTTACTCATATACACCTTTAAAAACCAATTAATAAATTTTCAAAACTATTCGAGAGACACCTTTAGGTGATAAACAAACCACACACAAAATTACAAGTGATACAACCAGTTGAGAAAGTCAGCAGAGCAGATACAAAAAAATAAAATATTCAAATCTCACTGACTAACTGACATTCTTGGGCGCTTCTAGCTGCGTAACAAACAAACTTACCATAGTCATAAATGCACCAAATAGAACAATAGCACAGGGACCACGTGCTAGTGCTAGCGTAAAGTAATCAGTTAAATTAATTAACTAATTTATCAACCCTTAGTATATGCACGCAACTCACATTACATCACCCAAATGACATTGCAGACTATAGAGTGTGTGCCATCAGATGTACAGCACACATGCACGCTTACAATGTGTAAACACACCATAAGTGAAGAGAATGCACACCAAACACACACACTCAAGCACCATTATTTGCACATACCATAAGTATATGGTGCACACCCACGCTGGTTATATACATACAGGATATCAACACAAATGAATGAATGATGCATAAGATCATGTCACCCTGTATGAAAAAATGCATGAACAAGTGAAAAATATATTTTTTATAAAATTGAAAGTGTAGGAATTGGTGCATCAACAAGTGAGGAAACAATGTAGGAATGGGCATGGTGTGATAAAACTTCATCTGTACAATCTCACTTTATGCTATTCATATAACTTGACAAAATATTTCATTTTACACATGATACTTTATAGTGTTACTATACTTCCACATATGATTACCTCATCAATTTATAGGCTTAATTATGTTAAAACCATTATTTTAATGACAATCTTACTCTCCGAAGGATTTTAACATATCAGCTGTTATTCATTATTTGAATGAAGTCACGACTTGCATTTTTGTTTTTAATTATATATATTTATTTGTATTACATGTATTTTACAAAGTTGGGCAATGTTGTATACAGATTTCAACGTACATTTAATTGTGTACATTTGATAATGTTGTTTCCATACTTCCGTAGGACAGTATGCATCACATAGACGTTCTTTTCATTTCCATCTGTGGTTCATTAACATCATGGAGACATTTCACTCTGACTTATTGTGACATGTTCAGTCTATCTAACTTCAAAACACATGAGCTGAAAACTTTCTGTACACATATAATGAATGTTTCACTAACTTTAACATCTAGTTAATAAACTATGTAGTAAATCATTTTACTGCATAATAAATGTGATTAATCAGTATTATAGAATAATAACACCTACCATTTTTCATAAATCTTTGAGGACTGAACATTATTGAACACATATCAACAATGATAATAAATATAATTATACAATATTGTTCACACACACACACAGACGAATGCGGTCTTTACAGTATTTTTTGTTGTAAGTTTATATTCGACAGTTTTTCTTGATTATTTTCTTATGCTGAGATTATGTGGAGGCAGTCTTAATGGATCAAAATATTCTCCTTTCTCATCTCGACCAATGTAAATACAGACCCACAGGCTACCAGATTTATGACTCGGATCCAGATTGACGATGTACAGTTGTTTTTCTGCATGATCAGGTATTTTATCACTGGCAAACAAATTTCCATACTTCTTTCGTGTGCACAAATATTGTGAAAGTATCAGATAAATTTATAGTTTATAGTTTCTTCTTTTGGACAATATTCTCTAGGACATTTCCTGTTTTGCTTTCACAAGTCAATGATACATATTATCCATTATTTGAATGAGTCATTTTGCTACAACCAAATATAATAAATGAATGACTTACTGTTTATCCATCCATTTTCTAGAGAAATTTCATAAAACATTGAAACTGTCTAAACAATATTATGAAATATCACACACACACACACACACATCACTGACGTCAAGCTAACTAATCTTTGTCTGTTAAAAATACAAAGCTCATCACGTAGAAACAGTAGACAGAGAGAAAAACGAAAGTAGAGAAAGTAAAGAAAGGTCGTTGATCAACATGTGGCCAATAGCCAAGTCTAT